ATTGGGTAAAAACTGTTAAGTAGGAACCAAATTTGTTGTGTATATAATTTTCCACTGAAATCCCCCCCCAAAAAAAAATTAAAGTTGACTTTTAACATTATTGTGCCATGATAAAATACTTGCCATTTTAATTTACTCATTTTCCTGCAGAGACAAAACATCTCGTGCACACAATGAGCTGTGTTTACACCTGAAGGAAGAGCGGTGCTCGCACGGCTCCAGATGTCGTTCCACGACATCCATTTGTGTTTGCTCTTTGATTTGTTGGCCGGCTTCTTTTTCAATTCTCTCTGCCATGTACTAGAAAAGTCCATCCGCTCCACAGGACATGTAAGCTATCACACTACAAACGAGTCTTGGAGAAGTAACTTTGGCTCGGTCCATTCACTCCCACTCCCCGCACTCGTCCATCTACACCTGCAAGTAGACAGCAGTAGACAGAAGTGAGCCAATTTTCAGATCAGAAAGTTTGGGTGTTTTTTTTTTAACTCTGCAATTTTGCCATTTTAAATATAGGAAATAATGAGCTCCCAGCATTTAGTTGAAGGTTTTCTACTTTATAGTCTGTATATATTCATGAACCATCGACCCCTCTAACGATGCCATGTAACGGAGCCTGAGCAGCTTTAGCAGAGGAAGAATTTTGCCCTCCTGTATATTTCTTGTCTTCAGTCATCTGTGGCAGTTGTTGGCAGGGACATTGGAGAAGAATCGGTGGCCTGAAAAACGTTACCTGAGCAGGTTCTGCTGAAGGTTTCTATTTCCAAGCAATTCTAAGTTATTTTTTGGCATACCAAGAGTGTGTTTATTTAAGATAGTCCAAGTATTGATCATCTAATTTTAATGAGCTAGTCTTCACTGCTGAGAATAAAGCCACGACATTAATAGTAAAGCCTAAGAATTTCTTAGAATGAGATTCTGTGGTGAAATTCAGGGAGCCGGCTCAGGATGAATAAAGATGCTTTCTGAAGTACACAGAGAGAAAGATCAGACCGCATCTCTGCTCCAGGTCTGAGCAGGTTAGCTTACGTGTGGAATGAGAACAATCCCAACTACTGGATGGACAGATACTTGATACACGCTGCACCCAGTGTTGCTCCTCATTAAGGGTTGATGATTTCGCTCTCTGTCTTTGGCTACAAGAGCAGTTAAGGGCAGGTGAAAAGTTTAGGTCACAACTGTAGGGTTTTTCCTGAGTAAGGAAACATTTAGCATGGCAAAAGAGTGGCAGGGATGCGGCTACAGCCACAGACCAATGCAGAAATCTCATGATACACTAGGCCTTCTCGCTGCCATCCTTTCCCTGGTTTTGTAACCGTGAACTGTATCCCCCTTTGTCCCTTCCTCGGATGACTTTCTTTGGGTCCTTTAATTTTCTGTGATTTCCTTTGAGTCCTCTAAGGTGAGTTTGTGATATAAAAACGCTGATGTCTGAAGCCGGTTCTCTAAAATGGTGACTTTCCAAGGCTTCCTGCCGACCGTGGATATTTTTGTTTACTTTATAGCTTTGTCATCCACAAGATGGGAAAAGCTCTAGAACTGGAATCCTACCATTGAAGAAATCCTCCCAGACCACTCCGGGTAGTGCCTTCCTGCGGGGAGTGGTCCCACATAGACCATTCTGAGGTTTGCTTTTTGTACTCGCTAACAGGTGTACTTCCTGAGCTCTAAAATTTCATTTTGTCAAAGTGAGCTTCAAAAAGCATCCACGTGCCTAGGAGTCAATCTAACAAAAGATGGGTGTGAAACAGTGTGTATTGGTGTCCTGTTATGAAATTGCTCCTCGAGTTGGTGAAGATTTCTATACTACCTTCTATTGCTTTGGAAATATTTTGTGTGAACAGTTAAGTGTACAGTCCATCTGGTAATGTTTTTTGCATGGGAATCAACTTTTTCCCCCTGATATGGGGTTCCCAAATATCCAAGAACTTACTGAAGAACTCCTTTTGCCCCTACTCTGAAGTACCATATTTGTCCTAAAATAATGACCAGATCATTTATTATCCACATTAACTTTCATCCGTAAAGGAGACATTGTAAACAATTGCACTGGGACAATAAAAATGAACAGGCCAGTTAGGAAAATTGGGCTACTGGTACTACCCGTTATAAATTAGGATTCATATCCTATTTATATCATATCCCATTCATCTTTCTGACCATCTTTGCACCAAGACCACTCTATGTAGCTTTAGAACAAGCCGCAATAAAGGACATCTTCTTAACTGGTTCTTCTTCAAATGTCTTGGATATTCCTGGCCATTTGTATTGTTATATTCATTTTAGAACCATTGTTCATGCTTCACAAAACAAACCAAAAAACGGTTGAGATTTTTGTTAGGATCGCTGTAGATCAATTACCATGTTTACAACGTTGAGTCACAAACCTAGTCTGCATCTCCATTATTTAGATCTTGTTTTCTCAAAATAATTTGAGAAATAATTTTTATTATGTATGTTTTCTGGATTTTTTATATGATATCTTCTGTACGAAGTTCTAAACAAATTTTGTTGGATTTATTCCTAGGTAACTGAACATTTTTAAATGAGTTAAAAGTGGCATTAATAAAATGTAAATGTTGATGCTACCTAGAAATCTGTTAGCTTTTAAATTTAACTTGTAAATAGCAAGTTAACAGGTTTCTAAATCCTAGAATTTAGATTTTCCTATGAAAATGACCATCTAAAAATACTATGCGGTTTGTCATTGCAAATATTTACTTTCTAGAATAATAAATCTTAAGCTTCGTTAAGTTATTGACTAATTAGTGACAGTATATATCTTTGTTTTCTTCTCAAATTATAGGCCAATTTCTGCTTTACCTGCTTCGTTTTTGTTATTTCATTTCAAGGGCATGTTATAGGATGCATTAAAAGTTAGAGTTGTCGTATTTTCCTAATGATTTGAGTCTTTTATCATGGAGTATTTGTCTCTATAATCAGAGAATCTACTTAGTACTAATATAGCTACAACTATTTTTGTGGAGTGGGGACATTATTGGTTTTCTTTCAAACCAGAAATGCAAATTCTTAGAAGGGTGTCCAACGAAAATGACCCAGTTCAGAGTCTCTAAATTTTAAAGTTTTAGATATGCTTCCTATAGACACCGTATGTTGTTGTTGTTGTTGTTGTTGAGTGTCTTCCCATTGGTTCTGACACACAGGGACCCCATGTTCAACAGAAAAAAACACTGCCAGTGGAGCACCAGACTCACACTTACTATGTTCAAGCCCATTGTTACAACCATCGCGTCAATCCATCTCGTCAGGGACCTTCCTCTGTTTCACTGCCACCACCTGCCGTCAGTCAGTCTGTTGTACTGTGGTGGTTTGCGCATTGATGCGATGCTGGTCTTTAAAACAGCAGCAGGGTCCCCCAAGGAAACAGGTTTCAGCAGAGCTTACAGGCGCAGAAAAGACTAGGAAGAAGGACTAGGATGTCCACGTCTGAAGAACCACCCACTGAACACCTCATGAATAGCAGTGGCACATGGTCAGATACTGAAATCCTTCTGAACAGAAGCAGGACATTGGCAGATGTCGTGCCAGAAGATGAGCCTCTCAGGGCAGAAGGCTCTCCTAACTGGACTGAGGGAGAATTACCTTCTCAAAGTAGAATTGACCAGAATGACATGAATGGAGTAAAACCTTCAGGACCTTTATTTGCTGATGGGTCACAACTAAAAATGAGAAGAAACAGCTGAAACATCTAATTGAAATTTGGAACGTACAAAGTATGAATCTAGGATAACTAGAAGTGATCCTGATCCTGAATCATAACCAGTTACTACTCCGCACTGACTGCTGGTATAATGTTGGGTCTGGCTTGTGGTTAGTGCCTACAGATAAATGGGAGTGGGGTCTTCGTTTTGACCCTGCTTCCTCCACCAGGTGAAGTTAGAGGTGCTCAGACACCAGCCAGGTGACAAATTTGCAGTCTCTTACGCTCCTTTTTGCATATTCCATCCTTGTTTCTTTCTGGAATCTATTATGGATCATTTCTTCTGACCTTACAATTTATAAATCATCGTTTTAGGTATTTCCAGTTCGATATTAAATCATAGCGATGGAGCTGTTAGTTGTGGCTTTGAGTTCCAGAATTTCTGTGTCATTTTCAGTATGAGGCTTTGCAGGAGCACAAAAGATTCAGCATTTCAAGGCCCATCCATAGGAGTAATTTGACAAAGATCTGAAAGCCACAGCATTGCACAAGCCTATCCCATTGTCATAACAGTATCATACAATGCAAGTCAAGAGCCTTTATCAGGACACACAAAGTGAAGCTGTCTTAACAGTGCTCTTTGCATCCACTTCTTTAGCTGTCTCCCCTCTGTTTTTTGTCTTGAGCTCTCTTGGCATCTTCTATCATAAAACACCAACTTCTTGACTACACTTGATCCCACCCAAACTCTACACACAGGCAGAATATAGGAAAAGGGAAGAATGGTTGAACACTTTGACCAGGGGCTCCTTTAATTTACTAGTTTAGAAAATAGAGGGATATAGCCAAGCACACAACAATTGCTTCAAAACAAACATAAGGGTGCAGATGAATGGCAATGGAACCAACAGGTGGAAGTCGTGAGAGTGATGAGAATGCTCACGCATTATGAAGAATGTCATCAATATCACTGAAGAACTGGCATAGAAATTGTTGAATGGAAACCTCAACTGCTTTGCAAACCTTCTCCATAAACAAAATACAATATTATTTAAACGTCACAAAATATCATTTACTATTTCACCAAAGAAACAACAAAATATTACTTAAAAACAAAAAGGGACATAGTAGAATACTAATTCTATGGAGAAGAGCGACCCAGCTGTCTTCATAGCCCAGGCTCTTGATCAGGGTGCCCTTCTACTTGCCAATGGAATATGTACATAAGGCTGTCATCCACAGTCGGTGGATCTTGATCACAGTTTCCAAAACTCAACCCATAAAGTAAATCATTGTACTTCTGTGCTCTCCTATAGCTGTCAGAAAAGACTCGGATCCATTCGTTTTTATTGATTTATTTTAATTCATAGTATTTTAATATAAAATCAGTCACTAGAGTTTTGCTACGTAAGAGAGAAAAAAATGATCGAATGTTCAGTCAAAGGGTTAAACAGAGAGAGGAAATTCAAGATTTGTTTCCGAAGAGTGAAATGTTACCATTGAAAACATAGACAGGGCTCTGTTGCGCAATGGATAGCGCATTGTATTTCTAAAAAGATAGACAAGAAAACTCCAGGCCTGACCCCGTTTCTCCACAGTCTCTAAGGAGAAGAAAAACGGCCGAGAAACAGCATGGTATTTGAGTACTTTTGTTGGATAATGAAAAGGAATGGGTGGTCAGCCACGAAAGTTTCCTCTGGCTGCAGCATGCAGAAAGTGGCAATGCCTGCCGTGGCGGCGGCTGCCTCTGTGCCCTCCTCATTTACCTCCACGAAGGACTTATGGATAATTTTTGATACATAGAGATCTCTGGCTCCTGACATGCCAGACAGATCAGCCTTACTACTATCAAAGAGATCCTGCATACCCAGGTGGGCTAGGTGGGAGTTGAGGGTGTAGGTCTCTTCTAACTTGAACTTGGGCAAGCTGACATTGACGTCAATATAACTCAGGTTCTCAGGACGGGTCCACTCATTCAGTTTTTCCAAAGTCAACTGTTCCTCAATCTGGAATGAGAACGAAGAGAAACGGGAGGCGAATTACACCTTACGTAATATTATCAAGCATAACGCATTATTAGGACTAGTATTTGCAGGAGTGAACACAAAATATCAGTTGTCTAAGTTGTTTCCTTCATGTTTTGTGCCAAATCTGATTGTTTTGGGAGGATCTAATTTACTTCTGGCAATGGGTAATATTATTGATAACAGTTGTGTCCCGAGTCATCAGAGGCCCTTTGGACATCCACAATTCATGGATCATTGTGGATTTTCTAATTGGTAAAGTGGTGCCAGGGGAAATGTTAAAAGTCTTCTTTACTCTGACGTCCTGTGGAGCTATGGTAACCTGTAAACCTCAGTGAAGCAGAGGAAGTCAGCTGTAAGGACTTTAGTCCCAAATGCAAATTTTAGAGACAGAGATGACGGGCTAGACCTAGATTCTCATCCAAAAGGGGGATGATGAGTGTGTCCTCCTTGTAGCATTGTTGGGAACATGCAATACATCAACAGAGGGGAAGGCAGTATACAATATACAGTATACAATATACAATAAGTATACAGTATACAGCAAAGTCAAAGGGAAAACTGAGAGGAAGTACAAGAGTCAAAGGCAACACAGGAAAATACGACTACACCCACATCCTGCAGTAACAATAATCTCTGAATTGATACATGCAGATATACACAAAGTAAACAGGGGTGGGATGCAGAAGGGGACAACTACCCATGGACCCATGAATCTATTATAGTTTTGGTAGGATGTTTCTACACGTGTAGTATTTATCTATGTTGCAAATATATCCATGAAGATAGTAGAGCACACAAGGTCAAAGTCATGAAAATATCTTAGTCATAACCAAACACTGAGACAAGAAGTTGCTGGACCTGGAACTCAGGACTATAGTTTTGGGAAGCACCAAGGTCAATGGACGTAGCAAAGTCCACAAAGGCTTTTCTACATCGTATTTTGGTGAGTAGTACCTGGGGTCTTAAAAACTTGTGAATGACCATTTAAGGTGAAACTTTTGGGCTTTCCCCACCCAGAGCAAAGAAGAGTGAAGAAAACCTCATGAAAACAATCAGCCCAGTGAACCATGTGAGCCTCGGCTTCCATGGCGCAGGGACCAGAAGAACGAGTTGGTGCTGAGTTAACACTACCTAAACTAGGAAAAGCTCTGAAAAGGATCCCATTAGAAGGTCCTAGATAGAGTGGAAGAAAAATATGCAATAAAACGCCAAATCATTAAGGAGTCCTTGTTTATTGTTTGAATAGAGACAAGTGGAACTCCCAAACACCTCCTGGATCTAGAACTAAACTCACCTTGTGGCTCAATTTTCAGCCAAACAACCAGCAGATTTGTGAGGGGGGGAAACAACACTAAGGAGGTGTTCACACAGAATAATTAACCATTTGAGATCAAAAGGGCAGCATTTTCCCAAGGACAAATTTCAGAAGGGTTAGAAAAGGAGGAATGAAAATGGGAAACACAGGGGGAAAGTGGGATAAATGATGTTTCATTGTAGGAATTACAATCAATAACATGAAATAAAATGTGTCTACATTGTCGAATAGAAACAGTATTTGCTCTGTAAAACTTCACCCAATTCACAATAGAAAAGGGAATTAAGTAAACTGGCACACGTGAAGTGCTTGGGGTACCGAGTGATACTTAAATGTAAGCTCTTATTATAACTTAACTGCTATTTCTGTCAACAGACAATAAAATCATCATTCTTCTCAATGGGACAACTCTTTTCATGAGGCTAGAGATGTTCCTTTAACAATCAGAGACAATACAAACGTGGAAATATAATGGAAAGAAGCAATAAAAATAAAATTGAATGAAAAATATATAATGTAGAACATGAACCATGAAGTCCAGGAATACATTACCTTCCTCAGACCTGTGGAGTCATCCTCAATGTCATCCGGCAGCAGGATGACCATGCTGAGGTCGCTGCCTTCGTAGGGCAATTCTAGCACACGGCACTTTAGTTCCCGGATGTAGCCAAATGGGTATTTATTCTTCTGATGCATCATTTTCACTTTTTTGGTGTCTTTCTGAGCAAGTGAAAAGGCACAGCACTCAAATTAACTGTGTTTTTTAGAGCAAGACCAGTTCTTGAGAATTACTTTGCCTTACCTTATTTATTCTGAATTGGGCATCTGTTGTGGCTTCTTTCATGAATTTATTCTTCCAGTTGCCTTTGAAATAGATGGCATTCACCAACACAAGCTTAGTCATGCTGTCAACCACACCTGAAGCCAACAGTTCTGGAATTTTCCCTATAAAGCAATATTATATTTAAAAATTTCACATGTCAGAATTCCAAATTTGAACCAACTTTGTTCTGTCATTGAAATGCAATTCGAACATATATCTTTCATCTTAATTGTCCCTTAACATGGGATTCAGTTAGGAATCTTGACCAATGTGTCAAGGTAAATAAGTCAACTTGGGAGGCACACTGGCACGTTGCACATCCATCCCTAGGAAAAACAACACTTAAAAACAAATCTGTACTAGAGCTTCAAATAGGGCGAGGCTCCCTTTCTAGGAGTGTGATCAGTGATGGGTCTTGTTTATTGAATGGTGTTTGTTTTTCAAGTTAAAAAGGGGGGGAAAGTTTTCAATAACAAGTAAATCTGCTAAGTCGACTCTCATAATAAATAACTCAGAAACTCACGGCCATTGAGTCTATTCTGACTCGTCATTCCCTTGTATAATGCCTCTCACCGTAAACCTGGTAACAAAGCACGAAAGTCACGACACATGGATCTGGTGCAGTTCCTCTTCTGAGAGCCAAGCAAACTGGAAGTGTCCTGACTCATAAAAAACGATGCTGGAAGAGAGACTGACTAAATTGGTAAATTGAGCCGGAAGAAGTCATTCCCCACCCTAAATGCTTCCTTTATTTGGCAAGATGTTGGCAAATAATAAAGTATGTGACTACTGATTGCATGCTTCAGACTCCTTTTCATATAGGTATTAAATGAATTTGGCTAGAGTTGGATTTTTCTCAAACACTTCTCCCTTTTGTTTTATATATAATATTAGCTTATGGTTTCAAAATGTCACTTGGCAGAACTTGGGGGGGGGGAGAGCTATTTTAGTTACATTGGAGTGAGATGTCACTTTCGTAAACTTCTAATATGTGGAAGCTTTCTGGGAAAGAAGGCAGGACAGAGTTCTCGTACACATCCCACTTTCGGGCTACGAGCAGGTCTGGGTAGGATGGGTAGGGAGGGGGTGGATAAAAGAGAGTGGGGAAATGCAGGTAGGAATGATGCAAAGGTGCTGCACAAACAGTTCTCTCCATCCCTTACCTTCGGTTTGGCCTTTGACCCATTTATTTATCTCCTTCCTGGCTGCCTCAGAGGCATGCTGGAAATCCACACTGGCCAATTCGGCCCCGTACATTTTCTGAGTTGACGCCAAGAACTCCTGCATACAGTGAACGAGAGAATGAGAGAGAGGGAGAGAGAAATTGCTGCACATCCTACCGAAATGGCTTTCTAAAGTCCTTCGGGGTGACAGAAATCTCCCTAAAAGGCTAACTGACATTCTTACCCCAGCAAATCTTCACCTTTATACTTCTGTAGGCTTGGTTGCATTCTTTTCATAAAGGCCTCCAGCTAAGGTACTCATAAATGAGCAAATACTGCCTGTATTTCAATGTGGTCAAAGTGAATCCGGGGCCCATTGCTCCACTGCAGGGACTGTGGCATACATCCACCAATCACCTAACAGGAATCTCCTCTGCACCCTGCTTTCCTCCTGCACCCCTTGCCTGCAGGTTTTCATCTTAAATCAACATCAGCCCCAAATGATATGGAAGTGGAATGCTTTTAAATGCTTCTAAGCCGACTTTGATCCTGCGATGAAGCGAACAAGTCCCCACTCTGGGAGGGGGTTTCAGAGTGTGCCACGTGTAGTACTCACGGGAAGGAAGTGATAGCTTTTCTCTCCGTATAACCTGTTAGCAATTTTCAGAATGTAGGCAGCACCACTCTTGTTGATGTCCGCGTTCAGACTCTGGAATCTGGAATGGAGCTCTTTCACCGCATCGAAGTGGAATGTCTACAGTAACGAAAACATGCTTTGGAGGACCACTGATTTTGAAATAACAACGGAATTATTGGTGTTTGGAAAGCCAGGTGTTTTTATTATTAATATTGATGATTCCCACAGTCTTTATGAATTTTTCATTAGAGAACAAAGAATATAAAATATATGTAGCTTTGTGGGACATAATTACTGTTTCTACATCACCATTTGTTGAAATTATATTCCGCAAATATGATTGGCTAATGAGATGTAAAAAGAGTAATTATGTCTCACAAAGCTATAGATAGATGCTTTTAAAAAGAAAAACGCAAATGGATGTCCATGTTTATATTACATATCCTATATATTTTTATTGAGTCTCAGGAATAAGTAATAAAAATCATTAGCAATGCAGGAATACAGAACTATTACACACTGAGCCTTTTTTTAATGGCTTATAAGTAACTCACTTATTTTAATATTACAGTTTAAATTTTAGATTTATGGCAAAAGTTTAATTTCCCATAAGTATCAGCTATAATCATAATCTTTCCCGATTTTATGAGGGCTGAGCTACTCCTTACTTTTAAGGCACAAGGAGCAACACTACAGCTGAACAAAGTCCATGTCATTCACCGAGATATGGAATGTTTGCATAGGTTTATGATCAGCCCAGCAGTATTTAATCTGCCTGAACGGGTCCCTCCAAGGGCCACACCACTAGCTTCTGCACCATAGTGTGTATGCTATGTCTCTTCACTCTTGGAACTAGAAAGTTTGTTATAATGTCCTATCAGAACCAATATATTAAAAAAGTATTTTGAAGACAGCATGTTCAATCCTGCTTAAGGCAACGTTATGTACCAGGTATTATTTATGAGCAACATCTTATCACATGCAAAGCAGAAGCCAGAAACTCTTAGCTAAGGAGAAGCTGTTGGAGCTTCCAGGAAGGCTGTCAAGAGGTCTCCCAGGAGACAGACAGGTTTTGCCTTGCTGACCTTGGACAGCTGTGCTGCAGTGTTGCCCTGGGCCCCCAGCAAGATCATGGCCATTGCTGAGGAAATGCTGACGGAGGAGAAGAAGATGTTGCCGGTCGAATCTTTCTCATTCAGGTTTTGGAACAGGTCCAAAGCGAAGTGGGTGTTGGCGGCGCTAAGCTGCTCCATGGTCACGGACTAGGGTAAAGAACAGAGGCCTGAGCTGCCACCCAGGCGTTGGGTCTTCGGTTCATCCTGTCCCCATGGCCCCAAGCTCCCCGGAAACATGCATTTTCTCCCCTTTCACTCAGCAGGGCAAGAACCCCATCTTTCCCGCACACCCATGCTGCTGCAGGTACCCAGGTTTGACCTAGGTTTCCTAAAGGGCTGCAAGGACAGGCCACTCCGCACCTGTCCCAGCCCTGTAGGACACCTTGGGCCCTTGCACACTTCAGTCCAGTCACACACATCCTGCTGTCCCCTCGATTTGGGCCTGTGATGCATTTGGGTAATGTATACATTTTCCAGGAGCCCTGGTGGCCTAGTGGTCGTGCATTAAGCTGCGAACTGTTAAGACAGCAGTTTGAAACCCCAGCTGTTCTGAGAGAGCAAGATGGGAGCTTTCGACTCCTGCAGAGAGTTACGGCCTCGGAAACTCACTGAGGGCAGTTCTACTCTATCTCCCCGTTGGCAGTGAGTCAGCCTTTTCACTCATTGCCCCCAAGGAACCTGACATAAGAACGTAAGAAAGCAGAGGTGTCTACTATACTGAACTCCTGTATAGGAGATCTCAGCATCCTCAGGGTTGAGATCTGTTGATTAACCTTTAGCGGTACCGGATTTAAATAAGTAAAAAAGATAAAGCCACCACAGCCATCTAGTGAATCCTGATGTATAGTGAGCCTACAGATCTGAGCTCAGAGCCTCATCTTTCCCTCGCGGAGCAGCAGGTGGGGTTCAAACCGCCTCCTTTGCCATTGGCAGCCCAGTGCCCAACCCAGCGCGCCACCGGAGTCTAAGAGTGTCACCTGGTTCCTGTCTGTCTACCCATCGATCTAGGGTGGCGACAAAGCGGCCTCTGCCTCTCAGCTCAGCACCAGTGGGTGCTCAGAGCTTCGGTTTGCTGAAACAGCGGCGAGGGGCCAGAACAGGGCGCGGGCTGGGGGGCGAAGCGCGCTGGCAGCGGGCGCTGGGGCATCCCCCACGTGAGGGGGAAACTGGCCCAAGCTGGACCGCCGGGAGGAGGCCGTTCCTGCGAGAAAGAAAACAGCCGGGCCTCCAGTTTCGGTTTGTGCCTCTCTCGGGGCGCCAGCCTGGCAGCCCTCCGCCCACCCCGCCGGCTCAGCTGACTCTCGCGGGCAGGTGCCCGGCCCCTCCCGGCGCGGTGGACCCCGGCATGGTACCTTTACCTGCGGGCGGACTCTCGAGGCTGGGTGAGGTCCGAAGGAAGTCCGGGCGCCTTATAGCGCTCGGCGGAGCGGGGCGGGGCCTCCCCAGGGCGTGTCTGGCCCGAAGGCTTTCTCCCTGACCACCTCCGGGTCGTTGGCGCAGAGCTGTGCCTGGATCCTTCCTGGCAGCCCGGCTTCCCAAAAACTGCCTCCCACTCAATGACCGACAAAGATCTGACAGTTCACGTCTTACCAAACAAGGACGAAATGACCCGAGAAGCCAGGTGTGTCACCTCTGAGAGGGCGGGCTCTTTGTATCGGTCTGGATCCCCAACTCTGTTTTTTTGTGGAAGCAAATTTGGGGCCGCGTATCCTGCCCTGTAGGGTCCTCTGGAGTCAGAGTGGACTCGGCGGCTGTGAGTTTGTTTTGCTTTGCCCAGGGAAGACAATAGGTTTCAAAAAGCATCCTACATATGTATACCTGACCTTTGGTACCAAAGTGCGCTCAGCCGGACCTCCCTTCACAGGTGAAGACTGTTCCCAGGCTAAGCAGGCCAGCTTACCCTGCCCAGAGCATCGATAGCTCATGCTGTGTGCAAAAAGGCGTTCTTAGTCATGTTACTAAAATTTAGACTAACCACTTTTTTCCTGTAAGTCCAAAATGATTCATGTTGAACAGGCAATAATTTTGTGAGGGATGTTTTTGTTTTCAAACATTTGGATATGTAATTTTATCAAAATATATAATGTTTAAAAGGGTGAGATAATTGTGTATTCATGAAATGTCTCACTTGCTTTCTGGCAAACCTCAACATGTGAGGAGGACTGAGAAAATCCATTGTTTCATTAGCATGGATCAGAGTGCAAATGGATTTGTAGACTTTAATGAGCCTGAGAACTTTTGTATGATTAAAGGGGGCAAGGAAGATCATTGTCATGTTGATAAAAATACTCTCCACAGTTAAAAAAAAAAAAAAGCAAGAGTTTGACAACGGAGACCAATAACCGAGGGAAGTATGGGCACTAGAGCGGCCGCAGGAGCGGGCTGGGGCCTCCCCAAGGCGTGTCTGGCCAGAAAGCTTTCTCCATGGCTTCCTCCTAGTTGTTGCCTCGGAGGGCTGTGGCTGTGATCCAAGAATTCAGACTAACCACTTTTAGGTTATTGGAAGAAAGAAAGCAACATTCATTGAAAGACAGCCATAGTAGGTTGAAGTGGTTTGATCATTCCAACCTGGAAGTCCAGACTCGGGGCTTTGTTCTCTGGTCACCTTTTGCATTACATCACCCAGAAGTAGGCAGCCATCTCATTAGCCTCCACTAAGAGGCCTCAGAACCCCTGTGCAGGCTGCTCTAAGTTGGAACTGACTCGATGACACCGAGGTTGGTTGGTTCTAAGAGGTGTAGGTGAAAAAGCAAGGGCAAAAGGCAGTCCTACGTGCTGTCAAATAAAAGTGAGTAAGTACATCGTAAGCCAGGATGTTGTGGTCAGGCGCCATTGAGTCCGTTCTGACTCAGCGATCCTGTGTACAACAGAGCGAAATACTGCCCAGTCCTGCCCCATCCTCACAATGCTTGAACCCATTGTGCAGCCACCGTGTCAGTCCATTGTGTCTTTCACTGCCCCTCCACTTTACCAAGCATGTCTTTTTCCAGGGATTGGTCTCTCCTGATCATGTGTCTAGAGAACATGAGATGAAGTCTTGCCATCCTCACTTCTGAGGAGCATTCTGGCTGTATTTCTTCCAAGACAGATTTCTTCTTCTTTTTTTTCTTTTTCAGATTTATGCTTTTGTCAGTTCGTGGTACTTTCAATATTTTTCACCAGGACCATAGTTCTAATATATCAATTCTTCTTCGGTCTTCCTTACTTAATGTCCAACTTACACAGGCATAGAAAGCAAGTAAAAATACCATGGCTTGTGTCAGGAGCACCTTAGTCCTCAAAGTAACATCCTTGCTGTTCAACACTTGAAAGAAGTCCGTACAGCAGATGTACCCAATGCAATGCATCATTTGATCTCATGACTGCTGCTTCCATGAGCATTGATTGTAGATCTGAGCAAGATTAAATCCTTGACAACTTCAGTATGTTTTTTTCCTGTGTATCAAGAACTTACCTATTAGTCCAGTTGTGGAGACTTTTTGTTTTCTTTACATTATGGTGAAATCCGTAGTGAAGGCGGCAAACCTTGATCTTCATCAAGTACTTTTAAGTCTTCTCCTTTCAGCAGGTCATATTGTGTCATCAGCATATCACACGATATTAATAATCCTTCCTCCCGTCATGATGCCACACTCTTCTTCATATAGTCCAACTTCTCTGATGATTTCCTCAGCATACAGATTGAATAAGTACGGTGAAAGGATACAGCCATGACACACAATAGTATGTCCTTGTTCTGCTCAAACAGCTGCGGTCTGGTCCATGTGCAGGTTCCACGTGAGCACAATGGAGTGTTCAAGCATGCTCAGTCTTCTCAAGGCAATCCACATTTTGATGTGCTTCACACAGTTAAAGACTTTTGCCTAGTCAAATCACAAGTAAACATCCTTCTACTTTCAGCCAAGCTCTATCTGATGTCAGCAATGCTATCCTTTGTTCCATGTCCTCTTCTGAATCCATCCTGAATTTCTAGCATCCCCCTGTCAATGTCCTGTTGCAGCCATTGTTGAATGATATTCAGCAACATTTTAGTTTCAGTAAACCAAGATAAAAACCAAACAAAAAACAAAAACCCCCAAATCCAAACATATTCATTGAGTCTATGTCAATGCATAGCACCCCTATAGGACAGGGTGGAACTGCCTCTGTGAGTTTCCAAGGCTGTTACACTTTATAGGAGTAAATCCTCACCATTGTGCCTGTGCTGAGCCCATTGTTGCAGCCACAGCTTCATGCCATCGTCTTGAGGGCCTTCTTCTTTTTCAATGTGCCTCAACTTTACCAAACATGCTGTTCTTGTGTAGGGACTAGTCTCTCCTGACAACATGTCCATAGTATGCAAGCTGAAGTCGCATCATCCATTCTCTAAGGAGCACTGTGGTCATACTTCTTCCAAGAGAGATTGGTTTGTCCTTTTAGCAGTCCATGTTACTTTCAATATTCTTCTCCAGCACCACAAGTCAAATGCATCAATTTTTCTTTGGTCTTCTTTATTCATTGTTCAATGTTCACATGCATATGAGGCCATTGAAAATACCATGGCTTGGGTGAGACATCTTAGTCCTCAAAGTAACATACTTGCCTTTTAATACTCTAAAGAGGTTTTGCAAGTAGATTTGCCCAATGCAAAAGTTCATTTGATCTTTTGACTGCTGCTGCCATGAGCAGTGATTTATTTTCCAAGAACGACAAAATCCTTGACAACGTCAACCCATTAATCATGATGTTTCCCTATTGGTCTACTTGTGAGGATTTGAATCTTCTTTACACTGAGTCAGAATACAAACTGGAGGCCATAATCCAGCAAGTGCTTCAAGCTTCCTCACTTTAAAAGGCAAGCAAGGCTGTGTCATCTGTGCATCACAGGTTATTAGTAAGTATGTTGCTCAGCAAATAATCAGACTGAAAAAGTATGGTGAGAGGATACAACCCTGATGTACTGTATACCTTTCCTGATTTTAAGCCATGCAGTATTCTCTTGGTCTATTTTCACAACTGCCTCTTGATCCTTGTACAAGTTCCCCATGAGCACAATTAAGTGTTCTGGAATGTCCATTATTTTCAAGATTATTGTGGTAGTTACATAATCTGCTGTCCATTTGGGACTTGAGAGGATTAAGAGTGAGGGGGTGGAGTCTATCTGTCAATCAGTCCTAGCCATTGTGGCCTCTGTGTGGGCATGGCCTCCTGGGAATTCTGAGAACTCCTGTATCTCCTCCTTGGAGACGGGAGACAATTTCTCTCTGCTCACTCCTTTGGAAACTCTCTAATGACAATACTCAAGACTCATTCCCTGAGAGACGCTCTACTGACAAGACACATGGCACTATGCTGATAGACTCCGTGCCCTGAGAACTGAAGGAGCCACATGGAGACCCCTGCACTGCTGAGGTGCTTCTATCATGACTGGCTCCAAAAGACTTAGCACCCACTGGCCTGTGGTCTTCCTGCACTTGGCGTCATTGCATTTGTTTTGTGAGGCTGAATAGGACTTTATAGATGGATATCGGACATATGGGCTAATATCGGAGTTATGGACTTGATCTGGACTAGACTGGGATGTTTTCTTAATATACATTTACTCTTTGATATAAAGCTCTCTATTACATATATATGAGTGTCCTGGATTTCTTTCTTTAGTCAACCCAGACTAACACAGTTATCCATAGTTTGTTATGATTCATACAGTCAATGCCTTGACATAGTCAATAAAACACAAGTAAACATCTTTTTGGTAATCTCTGCTTCCAGTCAAGATCCATCTGCAATGATATCCCTTGTTCCACATCCTCTTCTGAATCCAGCCTGAATCTCCAGCAGCTCCCTATCAATGTATAGTTGCAACCATTGTTGGATAATCTTCAGGAAAATTTTACTTGCATGTGATAGCAATGATATTGTTCTGTAATTTGAGCATTCTGTTGGGTCACCTTTCTTTGGAATGGGTACAAATATGGAGCTCTTCTACTTAGTTGGTTAAGTAGCTGTCTTCCAAAGTAAGTGCTTCTAGAGCTTCATCAGCTTGTTGAAATATTTCAGTTGGTATTACATAATTTCCTGGGGACTTCCTTTTGACTAATGCTTTCAGTGCAGCTTGAATTTCTTTCTTCAACTTCATTGGTTCTGCTCATATGCTACCTCTTGAAATGATGGAATGTCTATTAGTTCTTTTTGGCACAGTGACTCTATGTCCTTTTGATGCTTCCTGTATCATTCAGTATTTTGCTCATAGAATCTCTCAATATTGCAACTCAAGGCTTAAACTTTTTCTTGAGTTCTCTCAGTTTAAGGTATGCTGGCTGAATGTCTTCCCTTTTGGTTTGCTAAGTCTAGGTCTTTTCACATTTCATTTTAATATTTAGCTTTGTCTTCTCAAGCTGCCCTTTGAAATGTTCTACTTATCCCTCTGACTTCACAGTTTCTAACATTGACTCTGGCTACTCTACAATTAAGAGCAAGTTTCAGACTCTCTTCTGACATTCACTT